CTGAAGTTTATTCTTTTCTGAGAAGCTCTTTATCTCGCCTTCAATTTTAAGTGATAGACGTGATAGGTAGAGCAATCTTGGTTGTAGGCCTTTATTTTGCGGCACTTTGAAAATTTCCTGCCACTCCCTTCTCGCCTGCAGAGTTTGTGTGGAAAAGTCAGTTGTTAGTCTTATCGGAGTTCCTTTGTATGTAACCTGCTGTCTTTCTCTTGCTGCTTTTAGGATCCTGTCTTTGTCTTTAACCTTTGCTGTTTTCATTATGATGTGTCTTGGTGTGGACCTGTTTGGGCTCAGCTTGTGTGGAACTCTCTGCACTTCCTGGACTTGTATGTGATTTCCTTCACCAGGGTAGGGAAGTTCTCAGTCATTATTTCTTCAAATACATTCTCGATCCCTTGCTTCTTCTCTTCTCCATCTGGTATTCCTATGATGCAAATGTTGTTGCGCTTGATGTTGTCCCACAGGTCTCTTAAACTATTTTTGCCCTGTCTCCTGGCCTCCAGAAGGAACGCAGTCCTGCTGGCACCTGGGTTTTAGGACTTCTTACTTCCAGAACCATCACATCATGGACGTGGAATGCAAGCGTTCTCGCTGGAGGTGCCATGTGCCACGCGATCACTCCCACAACTTTGGGACAGAGACCTGCAGCTAAATATGAAATGATGGACAAATTCACCCTGAAAAGGCCTTCCTGTAATTTGAAGTACTGATGGCTGTCCAAAGGAACTGATGTATTAAACTTCAAATCTAAAAAGAAAGAGAGAATACTAAACAAAGAGACAAGTGGCAGCCAGAATATCTGTTCCACTCTCCATCTTCTCCATGGATGCAATGGGATGTCAACCTGTAAGGACCACAGCAACGTGTTTGCTTGCTCCTTGGCTTGCTGTTGGGTTGGCCAATTGGGGGCCCCAGCAGGAGATCAAGTGTAGAGAGAGGAGTACAGGGTTTGTGTTTAGTGGATCAGAGGGATCTGCATTAGAACAGCTTGAAGGTGGCCCCTGTGCTGTTATTGCACCTGTTCAGGCATTTCTTTTGAAGAAGCTCCTGTTTTCTTCTGAGAAGTCGTCTTGGAGGGATTGCCCAGGGAAGAGCGGAAGGAACTCCTTTGTCACACCTTAAGTGATATTTTAGAAAGTGCCTGTTGTGACAACTCGGGATCATACTGCTTGGTTACATGGTTAAGAGGAAAGACAACTGAGGAAACTGCTGGTATTTCCGGGAGTCCCGCAGAGTCTAGTTGCCAAGTGGAACATTCCTCTGCCTTGGCTGTCGAAGAGCTTGGCTTTGAGCGATTTCATGCATTAATTCAAAAAAAGATCATTCGGAAGTTTATCAGAATTAAAAGATGCTGTCTTGGCTCAGTATCCAATGTGGGGAAACAAATTTGGAGTATTGCTTTTTCTGTATTCTGTGTTACTGACAAAGGGCATTGAAAACATAAAAAATGAAATTGAAGATTCAACCGAACCTTTGATAGATTCTGTGTATGGACATGGCAGCCAAAGTTTAATTAATCTCCTACTGATGGGACACGCTGTTTGTAATGTATGGGATGGTGATAGAGAGTGCTCGGGAATGAAACTTCTTGGTATACATGAACAAGCAGCTGTAGGATTCTTAACATTAATGGAAGCTTTAAGATACTGTAAGGTTGGTTCTTACTTGAAATCTCCAAAATTCCCTATTTGGATTCTTGGCAGTGAAATTCACCTCACCATATTTTTTTGCCAAGGATATGGCTTTAGTTGCCCCTGAGGCTCCATCAGAACAAGCCAGGAGAGTTTTCCAAACCTATGATCCAGAAGATAATGGATTCATACCCGATTCACTTCTAGAAGATGTGATGAAAGCCTTGGAACTTGTTTCAGATCCTGAATATATAAATCTCATGAAGAATAAATTAGATCCATAAGGATTAGGAATCATATTATTGGGTCCATTTCTTCAAGAATTTTTTCCTGACCAGGGCTCCAGTGGGCCAGAGTCTTTCACTGTCTACCGCTACAACGGATTGAAGCAGTCAAACTATAATGAAAAGGTAATATATGTGGAAGGGACTGCCATTATTATGGGTTTTGAAGATCCCATGCTACAAACAGATGACACCCCTATTAAATGCTGTCTCCAAACCAAATGGCCATACATTGAATTACTCTGGACCACAGATCACTCTCCTTCACTAAACTGATTTGCATAAGTATTTATAAGGAAGATTGTAATAGCAGATATTTAAAAAGGGATGCAAGAGGCAATTGGCTATACATAAGAACACATTTTCAGTGTTTAAGATATGTTTAAGTTATTTATGTTAAAGGTTACCCTATTTTAACTCTGTGTGAAATTTACTAGCAAAATTAAGCTTCAATCAATCAAAGTTCACCACTTACTGCAGTCAAATAATTGGTCATTTATCAAATTATAAACATCATAATACTATAGCACTTGTATACTGAGTATCAAATTTACTACTTATAAACTTCTACTTTGGGGTTTATTTCATTCAGGCATATTTTATTGTTTAAATGATTCTGGCTTGCAGTATATCAGCCTCCACATTGAAATGCAGAAGAGTTCATTTTTACTTTTCTAAAATCTGTTTTTCATTAGAAATATTGATAAGTAGCACATTATCAACTTGGATTCTTTTGACAATTGGCTTAGCTCAGGCATGTTTATAAAAAGAAACTATAAAGGAACATTACCATTTATTCAGTGATAGACGATGTGCTTTTTTAAAAATGATAGGAAAGAGAATGTTTGATAGTTTTTACACTTAACTTTCACTGTATTGCCGAATACACTCTTCTAAATTTGTCCCGACAGCCCTGTAAGCCAGCTTTCTTGTAAATTTATAAATATGATAAATGCATGAAAACATCTGTTATTACATTAGTATATTGCATTATTTATTACAATCATAGTGGATCGCCTAAATAAATACTTTTTTTCTTTAAAAAAACAACAACTATTTTCATTGTTTTTTATTCTTTTTTTCTTTTTGTTGTTCCAAGTGGGTGATTTCTGCTATTTTGTCTTCTAAATCACTGATCCGATCCTCTGCTTCATCTAATCTGCTGGTGATTCTTTCAAATGTGTTCTTTATTTCAGTTATTGTATTCTTTAGTTCTACCTGGTTGTTTTTTATGATTTCTGTATCCTTCTTTATGTCCTCCTTCAGTTCCTGAAACATTCTTATCATCAGTGTTCTAAACTCTGTCTCTGAAAGGTTGGATACCTCTGTTTCATTTAGTTGCATTTCTTGAGGCTTCTTCTGATCTTTTACTTGGGACATGTTTCTTTGTTTCTTCATTCTGGCTGTCACTCTGATTGCTTCGATGTATTAAATCACCTAGAAAAAAAAGAGAAAAAAAAGGAGGGTCTCTCTGCCGCCGTAATCTGTACTGCAGACCACTTGCTCAGAAATAGAGAGATTCTGGGCGACTCAGCACCAGCTGCTGGGGGGAAGGGCTCAGTGCATCATGCGCCGACCTCCCTCTAGACTTGAAGTAAGCTTCCCACAATTAGTTGCTGTGTGCTCTGGAACTGTGCTCACCACCAAAAATCCTCACAGGTTGTTGCGGGCTGTCTGCTGCTGCAAAAAACCCTCTGTGGGCTGCAGACATCAGAACTAGGGACCAGGGCCTCAGGGTGCCCCTGGCAACACAGCTCTAGGTGGGTGGGGCAGGCCCCCAAGGCACCACAGGGTGTGGTCAGTGGCCCCCACCCAGTCAGAGAAGCATGCACTCCTGCATCAGCAGCCAACCCACACAAACTCACCTGGAAAGCCCCGGCTGAATCACGTAGGCGCACACCTCACGGCCCTACACTTCCAGGAAAACTCCCTGTCTCAGCCTGTCCCAATCAGCTGCTCAAAGATCAGGCCAAGCAGCCCAACAGCCAATTGCCACCAAGACAACTCTGCATGCGCAGTGCGGAAATGAGGGACTTAAGGCGAGTCGCGCACTTCCGGGTCTCAATAAACAGTCTGTTGTAGTCGGAGCGCGCTTGCCGGGCGTTTCCCTGGCTATGCAGGACAAACAGTATGGAGGGTGGGGAATCCAAGGCCGCATGTGCGTGCATGCACACACGCATGCACGCACGCGCACACACACACTCCTGCTCCAATTCCAGCAGACCAATGCAGTCCCAGACCTGAGCCTCTGTGGGAAGGCCCAACCCTGAAAAAATGGCAGCCTCCTATGCACTAGTCCTGTGCAAGCTCCACACCAGGGGAACAATGGTTCCAAAAACCTCCAGCTCCCGTGTCAAAGGCACTCAGCTCAGTCATTTCTGCAGGCTCCTGGGCCCCGCTCACAAAGCCATTGCCTCCACCAGGAACCAGGTGAGTGCTCACCAGCGAGCGAGTCAGTTTGCAGACTCCACTGTTTCTCCAGCTGCCCCCAGCCTCACCAAGCCGAGCAAAGAGAGTCCTCACTATTTTCTCCTTCCAGCTATCATAGAATTCCTCTTCCCAGCAACGTATCTCTGGGGTGGTGAGCGCGGTGTGGGGCCGGAGGGTCTCACCCCCAAATGGAGAAGCCTCCCCACTGCTGAGGTGACCCTCACAGGGTTCGCCCTCTCTCATCTCCACCCTTCCTACCGGACTTGATGTGGCCTCCTCTTTAAGTCCTTCGTTTAGAGGTTCTGTTCATCTAGGGTCCAGGGAACTTCCGAGGTTGAATATCTTATAAATTATTTGTAATTTCGTTGTGATCCTGGGAGGTAGTCGGCACAGCATCTGTCTATTCCACCATCTTACCAGAAGTCTCTTTTTACCTTTTTTATCCTGAAGTATGTTTTGTCATATATAAGTATGGCTACATATGCTTTTCTCTGCGTGCTGTTTGCTTGGAGTATCATTTTGCATCCTTTGACTTTGAGTCTGTATTTGTCCTCATAGCTGATATGTGTCTTTTGTAGGCAGCATATGGTTAGCTTTTGTTTCTTGATCCAATCTGCTACTCTGCCTTTTCATTGGTCAGTACAGTCCATTTACATTTAGGGTAATTATTGATATATGAGGATTACATATAACCATTTTATCTTTTCTCTGGTTGCTCAGTGTCTCCATTGTTTCTTTGCCTCTGTGTTTCTGTCTGGTATTTTAGTTTGGTGGTATTCTATAATTTTTTTTTCCCATTTCCTCATTTTTGTTATGTGCCTCAGGTCTGGATTTTTTTTTGAGTGTTTACCATTTAGATTATGTAAAAGAAAGTGTCATATATACAATAGTCCTTTTTCTTCAGCATGCTTCTTATCTCTATTCCCTTTTACAGATTCAGAAGTTTAGTTCCAAATTATCCATATTTATATTGTGAGTAGATTTCTGAATTGCAGTAGCAAATTCTCTTCTCTTTTTCTTTTTTTTTATGTTTCATCTTTGCCCTTTATGTTATGTTTAAGTGTATAGTGCCTTATTCTGTGTAGGGATTACCATTTCCTGCTTCTGTAGTTCTGTTAGTAATCTTTCTCATGGTTTTTTATCCTTTTGTCTGTTTGTTTCAGGGAGAATAGCCTCCTTCAGTATTTCCTGTAATGTAGACACTGTGGTGGAAAATTCCCTCAGTTTCTGTATATCTGGAAATGTGTTTATTCCTCCTTCATTTCTAAAAGATAACTTTGCAGGATGTATTATTTTTGACGGGTAATTTCTGCCATTCAATAGTTTGAATATTTGATTCCACTCCCTCCTGGATTGTGGAGTTTCTGCGGGAAAGCCTGATGATAATCTAATGGGCTTTCCCTTGTAGGTTACCATCTTCTTTTTCCTGGCAGCCTTGAGAATTTTTTATTTGTCATTAATTTTTGACAGCTTCAATACAATGTGTCTAGGAGAAGGCCTGTTAGGATTGAGGTAATTAGGTGTACTGTTGGTTTCTTGAATTCATGGATCCAGTTCTTTCCATAGGTTTGAGAAGTTCTCATCAACCATTTGTTTGAATAGACTGCATTTCTCCCTCTCCTCTCCTGGTATACCTAGTATTCTTATATTGCTCTTTCTGATGGAGTCAGATAGTTCTTGTAGAGTTCTTTCATTTGTTTGAACTCTCAACTCTCTCTCTTTTTTCATCTGCATCATTTTCAGATTTCTGTTTTCGATATCACTAATTCTTTCCTTCATCTGGTGAGCTCTAATTTCCTAAGCTGGTTATCTCATTCTCATCTCTTTTATTGATTTCTTCAGCTGTAGAATTTTTCTATTTGGTTCCTTTTTAGTATTTCAGTCTGTTGTGTAAAGCGTTTATTTTGTTTGTTGGTTTTATTTCTGAGTTCATTAAACTGCCTACATGAGTTTTCTTGAATGTCATTGAGTTTTTTCCAAACTGCAATCTTGAATTCTCTTTCATTTAAGCCATGTATTTCTATGTTTTTCAGTTTATTGTCTGGAGATTTTTATTTTTCTTTGTGAGATGCCTTGTTAGCTTGGTTATTCATGGCAGTGAATGGATTATTTGTCTTCCTTGGCATGTAGAGAAGTGAATCCTGCAGCAGGTTGATATGCAAAGGTTTTTACTTTTCAGCAGGTGTATTTGAGCATTTTATTTTTTCTCTTGTGCTGGATTGTTTTATTTTTTCTTGCACTGTTCCAGCTTCTTGCATGGTGGGAGATTTCCTGGGGACTTGGGCTTCTCCTCTGTGACCAGGTTGCCTTGTTCTCTGAGCACTATTCCCATGGGAGGATATGATGGTCGATGGGGTTCTGAGTCTGAAACCTCAGTGCTGCCCCTGTAGGCAGTGCAGAGCTGTGCACTTCAGCAGCCTTATGTGCTCCTGCTGTGATCAGGCATAAAAGGTGAGGGCAGGGTGGCCTGGGAGAGATGGCTGATGTGTTTCTGTTTTTGTTCTCTTCCAAATAATGGTGACTTTCAGATCATAGCTGCCTTACCCCTATAGCTCCTCCCTTGTCACTGGAATTAGCTGCAGTGTGTGTCTGCTACTCAGAAATTGTCTCTCCAGTTCTCAAGGCTGTAGATATTCTGCTCTGTAATCTGACACAGCTACCATTTGTTTCTGGGGGCCACTGATTATACTGGGAGCCTGTGAGGGAGGCAAGCCCTGAGCGGTTGGTGGGAGGTGCCCAGGTTCCATGGCTTTGTTTTCTGCTTGGAGGTGAGGGCTGTTAGGCTGCAGTTGTCACACTTCTGTATTTGGTCTTTCCCCCCAAGGTCTTTGCCCTGATTGCCTGGT